CATACTATAGATGTTCAAAAATGGATGCGGTATATCAGAAGTCAATTTGTAAGTCCAGGTCCAGTTGAAAAAGTGTTCCAAATCATGATCACACAGTGGATACTTAGCTGATGTTTCCAAAGATCTAAATATGTACAGTTGTTCTGGAGAACGAGTAAGATTGAGTAAACTTACATCCATTTTAGCAACGGTGTTCAGATCAAACACTACAGCATCGAAATCTTCATCATTCATTAAAGTATCTTTACTATAAGTTATATAGCAATTTATATATCGACATTTCTGGTCAATAAAAGTTCTCTGTCCATGTTGAAATTCCTTTAACCTACTCATTGCTGGCTTAAAATTTTTGTGCTTATTGTGGCTCCAAAATAGTATGTATTTTAGATCTGTTGGGTACCTCGTGTGGCGTCGATGGTGGACGACGTGGCTTGTCATTAGAACATGTGGCAGTATCATGACCACTAAAGCTACTACTCCAAATACGCAGCACAATATAATCTTCAGATAATTCTTCTTAAAGTTACTCACGAACATAATGTCTTTTTTGTGGTAACTGTACATGCCTTTTTCCTTTTTTTCCTTCATTTGTCTGTTGATTTGTGTTCAGATCATCACTAGCCACTGGTTGATCGTCAACTGACTGGCTATAGTCGGGTGTGTTTAGTGTATTTACTCCGTGTTTACTCTCCAATCGGCAAATCTGGAATATTTCTACGAAGGAATGTTTTGTTTGATTTGTGTTTGCAAAGCGTTTACGTAAATGAGGTAGCAACTTGTAAACAGTTTGTGACGGAAGGGATTAGTTTCAGGAATTACAAAAAGAATGTCGCTATGTATGTATGTATGTATGTATACCTAAATTAGTACCTAGAAAATTTATGTTTTTATAAAAAGTATGAAACTCTTCATGTGAAAAGAGGCCTGTGCTCAGTACTCATAGGCTTATAGGGGGTCCTATAACGGATTAGGCATTAATAGGTTATTTAATTTTTATAAAAGCGTTCTTTACTGATTAATATGCCAATATTGATGACCAGGAGCAGTAAAAGGAACAGGTTGGTTTTTAGTCAGTAAGAGCCAGAAACTCTTTCTCGCTCCACCCAGAGCTAGAGAAATAATTTAAGAATCTATCAAATCCCTCTGATATTTTTACCAAAACAAATGTTGTCATGCCGAAATGTAATTAATAAAAACAAATTAAAAAACGGCCAATGATATGAATCACTCAATGTAAACACATCTGATTAAGGCAAAGCATTCCAAATTGTAAATAAGCATGCATGTACCTCAAGTTGTACAATTCCGTAATTTATGTTTTTAATTTCGAAATCTACTAGCCAAACGGGCATATGAAAAACTCGCTTAATTTATGGGTAAAAAATATTTTACGTGTAGCTTAATATTGTCCCTTACCACACTCGGTTCGGCAGTGCTTTAGCCCCGGGAATGATTTATTGGCCTCCCGAGTTATATTTATTTCGCATTAGGGGATGGAAGGATTTTTTTCTCTCTATATCTTTTTGTTAATTCTCGATGTAGTTGCGTTTTCTGAATGTGTGTGTTTTACGAAGTTTGCACCTTTGTTTTGTGTTAAAATACTTGTATTTTGGTGTCTGCATTTTTGGGCAACTAGGTACCTACCGTGAATTATGCTGCGAATTCCATTCTCGTATAGACCAATTCTTTGTATGATCCACAAATTGTTGTTCTGGATCTGTGCGGGATACAGTAGAAAATCCAAGTGTGGGGCAACGTTTAAAAAATGCAAATATTCTTAGAATAATGAGACAAACGAGCGAGCGGTCTCTTGATGGCTAGCATCGGCATCTGCAACAGCAGATGGCCTTTTAGGGGTTGTTGGAATTTGATAAATGGGAATTTGGGTATTGGTGATGAGGTGATGAGGACCAGGGTCGGGTCTCCGCTGCTCACAAGGTGTAGCGCAAGCATTGTTTTATGCCAATTTTCTTACGGGGCGACACCTAAAATATCGTATTCGTTTAATTTGAGATGTTTGATTTGTTGTTGTGTAACATTCAATTAATGCTTTGTTGGCCGAGTGATTAGGAATTTGTATTAAAACAACATTTTAGAACAGTAACTATTAAACAGCGTTGTGTTAGGTATGTTTTCGAATAAAAATTAAAATACTGACAACATTAAATGTTCCTACACTTTATAATAAATTCAGTATCAATCCAAATCCAAACTAATATTATAATTAATGCGAAAGTAACTGTGTATCTGTGTCTTTTCTTCACGCCTAAACTATTGAACCTATTTGTGTGAAACTTGGTACAGACATAGATTTGAACTCGAGAAAGGACATAGGATGGTCTTTAAACTAAAAATCTTCAGGAAATCCCTAACCCACGCGAACAAAGTCGCGGTCAAATTCTATAAAAAAGCATCTGAACCAGACTTCATATTAAACCTTCATGAATGTTAAGACGACCTCATTAAACAAATGACAAAAATAACAAACAGAGACAACAATTAACAACAGTAGCAGCGAAAACGTTTCAGATTTCAACTTCAAACAATTTTTAATCATTAAGAAAACGCAGTATTTATTTGAAACACTCAAATTAAAAGGGTATTGTAGATAATGACTCGATAAACAGCGTTCATTATATAGAATCTGTATGTAAACCGCGGATTAAGTTCAACATGGCTCAAGTCTTGCTTATTTTCTGTTGTTATGCCTTAAATTGTCGACACTTGAGTACAGATTAGCTTCGTTACCCCGCGGCGGAGCGTACCTGCTGAAGGGATGGGAACTGTCGATGAATTACTTGTCGATGTTTTGATTTCTTTTTAGATTTAGTATTCGGATTTGTAAGATTTTACGTTATATACGAGTTCTTGCGTTGTACAAGTTTTACACACCTAAAGGGTTGGTACATTAACGTATTTTTGGTATTTATTCTAAGAACTCAAAAATTGACTAAGATTAACTTCACATAAAATCTCCATCCAGTAAGAGTCAATTACTGATCTAATTCCACTTTTAACAATAAGATTGGTTTCTGCTGAATTTTTTTTTGCTTTAAACCTCACGGAGCTCGAGAACTTTCCAACGAATGCAAAACCCTGAAAATCGGTTCGTGAGTTCTGGAGTTATAGCGTCAGGAAGGAGAACCCGACTTAATTTTATATAGTAGATTACAATGTTAACAAATTATTGTAAAAACAAACGGCCTCACAGAAAATCGGCGTGAAACAACCACAGCGTTGTGTTGTATCATGTGAGTGAGGTTTGCAGGGGCTCAATCCCTCCCCTCCCCCCATCTCTTCCCAATCCTTAAATATCTGAGATTCTTATCCCTAAAAGACCGGCAACGCACTCGTAACTCCTTTGGTATTCGGATGTTCATGGACGGCGCTGATTGCTTACCATCAGGTAATCCGTATGCTAGTTTGCCGACATACTATAAAAAAAGGAAGACAAAAATTATACTTATAATCTTTTCAAACCAATTCGAATACCTTTGTACATAGTTATAAAGTTCACACTGTCCTACGGAAAGACTTCATGACTATTTTGAAAGGAGAAAATCATACCATGATTTCTCGCCTGGATGGGATGAGAGGAATTGTCTAAAAACCACTCTCTACATTTTTGCATTTACACCTGCAATCCCAGCTGAAAAAAGGCATGCCTGGTCACTCATATAACTTCAAACTACACTACTCTTACAAACGAGGTAGTGTTAAAAAATGTAGGTCACTGGAAAATAAGAAGTCCCACACAATTTATCGACATGCCCCCATCCCTAGCTTTCCGAGTGGTCGCGTAGGAAGCGCGCGGAATAATGATTTCTTTGAGTTCCCAGTGTTTGAAGTGCACGCCATTACTGGCTCTGATACGTTTGTGTTCTGCACTTAATAGCGGATCCCAATGTCGGCCATAATTGTTTTCCTTACCTTTGTACGGTAAAAATCATGTTTACGACAATTTTTTTTGTGTTCACTCTCTCTCTGTCGAAGATTTTATCTAAATTTATTATTCGAGATGCTGATAAAATTTGAATGAGAAATAATGATTTTTTTTGGTGTATATATATTTTTTGTTTGTGTGTTTAAATGTAGGCGTAGAATTTAATGATGAAAGGTCAAAGTTATATAGTGATGTGGCCCACAAATTGTTTATGCGGGTGGCGGTGTGATGTGTATGCGAAATTGTTTGTTTGTCTACCCACGACACAGGAGAAAATTAAAATGTAAGGCCATGTTTTAAAAAAATAAAAAAGTTATCAATCCCACCAGTTAAATGCGCCAAGCGTTCATTCGAGTTGTGTAGTGCTTCTTTAGTTTATTTGTTATATTAAACAGAAAGAAACTTGATCCAATACCAAACTCAAGTTTAGAGTGTCTGTTACTAATTTTTGTATTTCAAAAATATACCACATGTATACAGAGTATCCATCAATGATAAATTTATGATTGCTCTAGCAAAACTAAACTTTACAGAATTATTATAATTGGCTCAGGAATGGAAATCCAGATTTAGTTGATGACCACTCGATATTCTACCCATTTATATTGAACCCTTTGAACCCTAAGCCGCCACAAATACCCGATTGTATCCATACTTGGAACACTAACTTGGATAAGCCAAATATACTTTGTCACCTGTCAATAAGGTTAGATTTAGCTAAGCAAACTAATCTTAGCTTGCAGTTTGATGTCCTGAAGGTGACAATATAGGTAGAGAGTTCTATTGAATAAACTTGTTGGTCTATGGCTGCAGCGACCACAGACTTTATAGATATTTCATACTCCCCCTGAGAGTGAAATAAATAAATTACTAAATAAAAATATAAAATATTAATACTAAATAATATAAAAAGGTTAAGATAAACTATAAAAAGTTTGTATGTATTGGGTAATCTTTGGAACCGCTCTGGTCGGATTTCCAAAATTACGATGCGTTGATGGGTCATGTATTTTGCTTATTTTCATGTTTAATGAATTTTTTTGTTTTTTATTTATAGGTCGGCAAACGAGCTGACGGATTACCTGATGGTGAGCAATCAGCGCCGCCCATGGACACCCGCAGCGGAGGAGTTACGAGTGCGTTGCCGACCTTTTAGGGATTAGGGATTTGGAGATTTATGGATTGAGGATGGATTGGGGGAGGGGAAGGATTAGGCCTCCGGTAACCTCACTTAAACGAAGAATCACAACGCTGTGGTTGTTTCTCAACGGTTTTCTGTGAGGCCATGGTATCACTCCGGTCCGACCCATTCGTGCCGAAGCTTGGTTCTCCCACACTTATTTCATGTTAAATGAAATTTAAAATTATATAGCAGGAAAACAAAAGAAAGTCTAATCCAGTCTGTCTAGTTAGCAGACACCCATAGTAATGTACAGGTCGGTTTACAGTCACGCTGAAAATATAAGTACCCGCAGTGAGCGCACTCTCCTCTGTCTTTATTGTACTCAGATAAGTGATAAAAATCATAATTAGCTTTCGGACCTAGAGTGTTACTGATATAATGCTAAGCTTTGCTGTCCCACACTTAAATAAAGGCATCAGCATAAAGGAAGAATGTACTTATATGGATTCTCCGAAATCTGTTACAGTATCTACATTATACGCAAATAAATATGTATTCTATTCTTTTTCGCGATTACTAGACAAATGTCAAAATAGCAAAAATTTTATCCGAAACAGTGCAAAAATGATATATATCACATATTAAACCCAAAACCTCATGTGTCGCCATCTGCGCTATCGATTCTCAGTACGCGAACTAAGCTGGATCCGTTTGATTCGCTGCAAATGTCAGCACAAAGTGAGACGAACTCAATCAAATCCTAGATGGTGTAAAGAAAAAGTGGGGAGTGCAAACTGGATTGTCACAGTTTCAATTCCATTTGGGCGAGTCGACCGCGACCGCCGGGAGATGGGACGGTGTTGTTAAGGGTCGGGGTATTTTAAGAGGAGATAGCGATTTTTTTTATTATTAATTTTTATCAGTGTAGTTGATGTGGAATTTATTTTTATGAATTATTAATTGTTATAATTTATTGTATTTATTAGGTTGATTGTTAAATTCTAAGTAAATTAGGTAAAGAATAAAAAATCAAATTAAAGGACATAATGTTAAAAGTTGGGTTATACTTGTATATAGAGTTTAGACTTACGGCAAACTTACTCATATACGTTTTTCGCATAATATCACTCCGCTCAAGCCAGCTCATTCGTGTCGAAGCATGACTCTCCCACACTTAATATACTTACGTTATTTCGTCTTTATTTTCACGGTAGTACGATGTCTCATATAGAGGTCATTTCATTCTTAGTTAGTTCACGAACACTCTTAAATAACTTAATTTATATTTAAGTGTGATTAAATTTTCAATCAATGTGCATAACATTAAAAACAGACTCTTAAATTTTTTAAAATAAATATCTAATTATATTTGAAATCGCTCATCTATCAACAATAAAACCTCACCGTGACCAGTGTGTCAGTATTCACAAGTGTAAATCAGAGTAAACAGTAAGGTCCACAATTTTCACGTAACATTTCAGTCGTTTTCAGTGATTTAACACCTAATTAGCGGTTTCAGGGTAGATGGGATTTAACTTTATTTATGTACAACTTAGTTTATAGGATGGATTAGCGGTTACACGTAAGTGTGTTCCAAAACTTAATATGTGTATGAAGTTATTTTGTGTTGGGTTTGTGTGATGTTGAAATCTTTCTTGTAGAGTGGCCCTTTTTATGGGTTGAGTGGTATTCATGATTTGTCTCACTCGAGTTTGGTACGAGAATCGAGTTGATTAGATTTTTCGTAATAGCACGTAGGCTGAAATAAGGATGATAACAGGGTATGAAAATTAAATTAGTCTTCGTTGATCGTAATCGTTGATGATGATGATATTGATGTGACAAAGAAATGAATTGGGAAACTGAAGAATTGAAAAAGAGTGACCATGGCGTTTTTTGCTTGTTCTTTTTCGTAGGAGTTTTTCTTTCATTTTGGAACGAGCTAAAAGTTGCACTAGAGGACACACCGATAGGTCAGATTTTATGGCAATAGTAATAGTAGTGGCAATTCTGTGGCAGAAGACAATTTTGCTGTCAAGAAACTGATTACTATCCAATGTTTGTACCCTCATCTGTATTATCATCGACCGATTTTGGCCCTTAAAATTAATATTAGTCCTTAATTGAAAGTTGCAGCAGGTCGAACAACAACAGGCTCCTCTAGAAGCCAGCTAAGTGAGTTGTTTGAGCAATAAACGTTGTACGCAGTGCATTACGTCGTCAATGAACGGTAACTTAGTTGTGACGCGATGGGAAACCGCTATGTAGCGTTACCAGAAAAAGTTTAGATGTGTTTTTTATTTTTTTATGATTTTTAGTTGCGTCACATATTTGCCTACATGTTTGATAAGCGGTGTCTTCTTTGTAAATGAGTATTATAATGTATTTGAAAAATATAGTTGAATTCATGAATATTGGGGAAAATGTTGCACAATAATAAATAAAGTATGCATTATATGTATAAACATATTTTTTATCCTTAAACATATTTTTTTAATGTCCGCTATTATAGTGGTTACTGAAATACGTCATTTGTACAAAATAAAAGTTTGTGATATAATATAAATGAACGGACGGACAATGGGGTCTAAGTAAAGGTTCTCGATGCACGGAAGCCTAAAAACAAACCAACCATCAAAATGGAGAAAAAAAAACCTAAAGGATCATTTTATTATACTAGCAGAATTATTAGTTACTCCCGTTAGAAAAACAACAGAATCAGAGAATTTTAATAAACGATAGCAAAGAGGACTGATATTTTTTTTCAATGCCTTTGAAGAAAAAAAATAGGCACCATTTATTTGGCAAAGGCGTTTTATTCTATTTTCAACAAAATTATTATAATTTTCTAATCTATTCAGATTATTTGCTAACCATACCACTCGCGGGCCACTCTAGCCCATGTCTCCAAGATACAATGAAATTACGTAGACGGCTTTTTAGCGGGCCACGAGACATCATTTATAAATGACCGCTTGTTTTGCTGACGGTACTAGTACATTGGGTTCCGAAGTCCACTATGCTTTTAACTTCATCCCTGTTGTTTTAAGGCCTTTTAATATAGTTTTAACGTCATAGTTCAAAAGTGAAGGCTTTTAGTTCAATTTTGAAATATGAAAGAAATTTGTAGATGTTTGATAAAAAGAGAAATTTTAAGAACATTATTTTTTTATGTGACGCCAAATGAGCAGGTGGATTACCTGGGGTGTGATTCTGTAAGACTTCATTCTAAACTTCGAATCTGAATCTGCTGTGAGTAGTAGTACACTAGCGCTACACTTGCGAGTTGAACTAAATTGACAGCAACATATTGATAGATAAAGTATGAGATGACGTTAAAAGTGGCATTCCAAAATTTAATTACCCCGTTACTTCGACGCTCACTTCGCACTCGAACAAGATTCAAAATCAAACATATTTTATAGAATCGACGTGCTGGTTGTAAGGTATTGGCGCTAACCATGGACACTCGCAGCACCAGATGAGATGTAAATACATTGCTGATATTATAAGGATTAGGTTTTGGGGGATCCAAGGATTAGGGAGGAATGGTGGAGGGGAAAGATTTGGCCTCCGGCAACCTCACTTACATAGCAAAATACTATGTGGTCGTTTAACGCCGATTTTCTGTAAGGCCGTGGTTGAGCTCATGATTCTTCTTCACTTAAATATTTTGTTTAATTTGTATTTCAAATTTTTTATTCATGAATTACTATTTAAATTTTTCTTATTAATAAGAACAGACTTAATATTTTCCAGATTAAACTTTTGTGACAAAGAGTACAAAAGGTGTCAATGTTTCCTGCCTATAATTTGAAACCAGAACTGTATCGAATACTTTAATTAAAATAAGGTTAAAACGTTTGCTATTTAAAGAGCAACGATTCTACAATATGGTACCGTAGTACTTTTCTGAAGGTAATGCAGAAATTTTATACCACTTCATGCAAATTTTTGTAACCATAATATAAATAACATAACTGAATTTCGTAAAAAGTCGTTAGTGCACTTTCTTCCTAGCTAGCTGACATCACACATTCGCGCACTGAACATCAAAGAAGTTTAAAAACATGTTAAAGTGCTGTAATGCAACCAACTTACTGAAGACAAGTGGCGACGGTTCGCCGGAAGTTCACCCGCAAACAATATGGCTGCCGGCCACTTCCGCCCGCCGAGTTTCCGCCTTCAGGCCACAAGCGACATTAATAACTTTTCAAAATGCGTAACGTTGTTTAAAAATAGAAATCTGTTCGCATTGACTCGGTTTAACTTTTCAACGTCGCTTGGTTTATTGTTGATCGAAGTTTATGCTAAGTTAGTTAAGTTTAACGTAAATATCTTGGTGTTTACAATAAAATTAAGATTCGTATAAATGTTGTCCCTCACTAGGATTATCTACTTTATCGTAGGTGCGTTTACGAACATACAATTTCAGATACACCTTACAGATGGACCTGGAACAACAATTTCTGGATCACAAAAAAAGTTGTTACATGTGGGATTCGACCTGCGGCACCTTGAACGTTGCTCATCCACTTCACCAACCGCGCAGTAACTAGCTGAAAATAATCTATTTGTGCCTTTTTTCAATAGAGCATTGCATAACTCCTGTGATTTGTGTTACCATATTACTTACACTACACATTATCAGCCTATAAGTGCTCACTGATCAACAAAGACCTCTTTACACAAGGAGAAGGTTATAAATAAAAACCAGTAAGCATTACCACCTCTCATAAATTATAATGCATCCACATTAACTGAATATTATACATACAATGCATAGGCTACGTCGTAGCCGTAGCACTACGGCGTAGCGGCGTAGGGGCCCTTTCCGGAAGATACGGGGGGCTGGGAGGTCTAGGGGGTTGCAGACAGCGGACACATCCGTGGCAGGGACATATGTATCGGTGGTGCTTCCTCTCTGAATGTTTCATGGGTAATCTACCGCCAGATACGAGCGAAGACGTGTGTTTTGTGTATGGAATACGGCTTCATAAATTGTCATGTGGTTTTAGTTGAAGTAGTTATGTGTGGACAAGATACCTATTTATTGGTCTAAGGGTCTTGGTTATGGAACTTAAAAAAAAGGTGACGGGTACACTAAGACTGATTGATTATTTTACATTTCGATAACGTCATCTCTTTTCGTTTTAGGCACTGTTATTCTTAATAACAACGTATATGTAGAAAATACTAGCCCGCTACCATTAACCCCAGAACGAATGCATTCCTTTACTGTGTTTTACCTCGTGACAAACAGAACGTTAGTGTTACGGGCTTCCATGGGTGGCGCCGATTACTTACCATCAGGTTACAGGGTCATACGTCTGCTTGTTTGGCGACAGAAGAAGCGAATCATTACCCTCATGAGAAGCATCTTAATGACTTGTTATTGTCGATATCGTCAATATTTATAATCGATTAATTGCAAGTAGTGGTGCGATTTAATTTAATAAAATCATTATTTGTGTTTCAATCGTCAAAATTGTTAATTTTGTGTTTAGGATACTGAGAATCTTCCTTTTATGATATTTTGTCTTGAACATCATCAGCCTATAAGTGCCCACTGCTGAGCAAAGGCCTCTTCTCACACGGAGAAGGTTAGAGCATTTATCACCACGCTTGCTCAATGCGGGTTGGCGATTTCAAACTTATAACTAGAATATATAAGTCCAGGTTTCCTCACGATGTTTACCTTCACCGTTTGTCAGTGGTGTCTAAATAATCATAAAAAGTACATATAACTCGGAGAAAGTCACATTGGTACTTGCCAGGCTTCGAACCCACACCCTCGTGCATGAGAAGCGGGTGCATTAACCTCTGGGCCACCACCACATTTGTCTTGAACGATTGGAATAAAATGAAACAAATTAACTATGTTAAACATTTTATTATTGAACTCATAAAGACAACACAGGCATCTAACTACTACATTTAATTCCATAGGTACATTACAGTTAGGTACTTACAATAATCGTATAGCTATTTATATATTCTTTACCAAAAATTTTAACAAAACACATTTTTATTTATTACCTAACTTTAGCTTCACATTAACCGGAGTTTTGATATAGACATCATATTTGATTACGATACGATAATTATTTTTTCAAATTCTATTTCTACAATTTTTATTTATATACCAATCTAATCATAAGCCCTTTTTAATATATTATTTTACATGTAAAGCGAACCAAAGTCATTTATTTATTATATAATGTATTATCAAAAATGATGCAGACTATTGTGGGTTTTATTATTGGTATTTTTATATATAACCCGCAGAATTTAAAACACGTTTCTACTGTTTTATATTATAATATAAATTGGTATTGTGATTAAATTTATATTTTCATTTTAATATCGCATATACCTACCAAGTACAAGCCTTACATTCGTATATTGCGATAATTACACTTAAAAGTGTGGACGAATTTATGATACTTTTTTTAATTATAAATTGGAATTCATTTTGTATATACATTCCTATATACATTTATAATTTCTACACTATATAATGTAATGTCTACGTATTTATAGTACAAGATTAAGAAGTAGTATGAAGCATTTGTTTAATTTTGTATATTTTGTTGCTTAATTTTAACAGTAAGTAGGTATCGCTGATATTGTCTACACAATTGACGGTTTATAATTATTATTTTAGATCTAATTTTACATATTTTCTTTGTTTTTATTCAATCTTTGACTTTGACTATTAAGATTAGATATATTTGACTCTGCTTTCAAAACAATATGAGACTTTATGATCTTGAGATAAGTCTCTATTTTCTAGTTACGTTAAATACAAGGTTACTTCATACATTTCTAAGTAGCAATGTTACAGTTGTGATAAGTATATTTACTTAATCTAAAGCAACCGAGACGCCTTGACTGCCTCATTACAACTTTGCCTAATCAAGATAATAATTGCACAGAATTTTATACGAGTCATATTTCACTATACCTATATATTTAAACGAACCGACTGTGCGCTGTATATGCAGTGTGTTTTTATTTACATGAGCAAAAAATTGCCTTAAGGGCTTTACGATATATTTTTTAATTATAAAAGCAATAGTATTTTTTTGTTTATATAATTTATAATTGTAACAAACTAAGCGTTTTGTTTAGTATACAAACGAATAGAAATTGACTTAATTAATAATAATTTGACTTTAATGAAACTGTAATGAATATACAAAATAGTGTCGAAATTAAACGGAGCTCTAGTATTAAATTGAAAATGTGTTTCATTATTATCCATATGAATACATTATGTAACTTTGTCCAAAATGATATAAATCTATATAAAAGTAGGACATTGAGTTCGTATATGGATTTGCCCTCGTCTAGGTACAAATATATAGAGATAATATATAATGTGTATATAAGGAGTTATATAGAATTTAATTGTGTGTTAGAGATAGGTCGTCAACGCTTCGGTACCGCAAGCTGTGCTCCTTCGGCCATTGGGTTGCTGTGGAGAAAATAACAAGACAAAACATTATACTTAAAATAAGAAAAAGGGTCAGTATTTAGTTTGTCAACCTTTTTACCGTCATCGTCTGTAGACCACAAACCAAATATAGGTACTTATTTATGACATATATCTGTTCGGCTATAGGTACTCGACATTGGCGAAATAGCCTATTTTTAATTTGTCCTCTATAGCCGGTCAAGACGATCAAAGAGTGACTATTATAGCGACATTGTTTACTATTTACTCAGTAATGAAACATTAAAAAAAAAATTCATAACTTTTTGTCATTGATAAGTACGAAAACATATAAATAAATCATACGAATATTCGGTATTTTTTGTGTTTTACTTTTAGGATACATATCATCATAATTTTGTACCTTTGTACTAAAATTATTAATAAAAGTATAACTTACTTCGTGATTGTAAAATAAAATGTATTTTAAAAATAAAACTTCGTCGTACATTACCTGAGGTCATTGCCCTTCGCTTGTTATATAAACTGAACTTGTAGATGGCGTTGTAGAGCTAGTCGTTGTTGTAACATTGGCTATTGTTTCAGTAGGAAAGGACAATAGGCTGTCTGATCCCTCTAAGATTAAATAAAACATAAAATAAAATAAAAATTTAAAATAACAAAAGCAATTTTTGGTGTGCTGAGTTATTTTTAAAAGATAACCTCTTTTTATGGTTTGCCAATTTATTGACATGTATTTTTTAAAAAGGAATGCTGTTAAACTTAATTTGCATATACTTTAAAAAATGTTTAAACAAAAAGGAGGTCGATATTTTAAAAATAACCAAATAATAAGTTTTACTTTCCAAATGGAAAAAGATATTTATTTCATAATGGAAAATAATTCTAGAATTATGCCTACATTATTTTATTGGAATTCTTATTGAAAAATCTGCCATTTGGAAAGTAAGAGTTATAGCAAATAAAAAAGTAATTAAAGACAAATACAATCATAGCACAACAACTAAAACTAGAACTAATATACAAGACCACTAGTATTAATATTGTAGACTACATGCCTTATAGATATTTACTACGTCTACTTATGCTAATTACGCATGGAGAAAACTAAACTATGACTAATTTAAATTGAAAATATTTGTCATCTCTATAATATGATTTGAAAAAAAATATATATTTTTTGTAAGCAAGTGTGTAAAAACTCGCTACACCCAGGTTTTACAGTAGATAACATCATGAAAATGCCGATACTCTGAAGTCTCGGCATTTTCATCTCAGGGACATGAATGACTCTCTAGGATCCCGCAACAAAATAAGTCAGATGATGTCATTTGAGGAGAAGGAAAATGAAACATTTTCTACTTTTCTCGATGAATTAAAATGCAATGTACATATGCAAGCATATATGTATGAGTGTGTTTTTATATTTGTGAAGTGGTATGTTGCAACAAAATTTTAGTTGCAAGATTTTACTTTGAACAATTTAGCTGAAATTTTATGCACACTTTTGGAAAAGCTTTTTTTTAGCTGTAAGTAGGTAGAACAACAACACAAAAATGGAATAATGATTTTCTAAAAACAATTAGTACAAGCAAACTACTGACTAACTATATTTCCACAAACATGTCAAACTATACCTATTTCTGTGACATTTCTTTGGTCTATCGACTTTATCGTGTCTTTTGCATGCAACGCTTTTTTTGGAACGGCGCTTGTGGCGATATCGTGCTGAAAGTTTGGTAACAATGATGTAGAGGAGATGTGAAGAAAGAAGTGTGTTAAGGATTAAATTGCATTCAATTCGTGTTGAGAATGAGTGAGGAATATCAAAGTCGAAATAAAAACATTTTTTCTGATAAAAAAAATATACTTTTGATATAACAAAAGTTGTATAATAGTCCTTCAGTCTGTTCGTCAGTGAAGTAAGGTGGTCTTTTAATAAAAACATACGTTACAACATGGTTTTAAAATTTTACCAATATTTTATTTAATTTTATATGCTTTTTTAATATTAAGAAAATATATTCGTTCGAGTTGAGTGTGAACAATATCTAGATTATTTTTGTTCAATAAGTAATTTAAAAAAAAAAAACAATTCGAAACATTAATATTTACAAATAATTTTCGTGCTGATGTATATTGTTTCATGCTTCATTCTAGAGAGCCAAGATGCTTTAATCAAAAAGAGTGCAGTTATTAATTTTTGACGAAAAAATATATTGTATTTACCTGTATAATGCATATTTCGGTACATATCTGGACAATTGCTTGAACCCTGTAACAAATTAAAACATATGTAGATACCATATGATAATATAAACTCTTTTAATTCTGTATCAGTCGGGAGCAGCTGTATTGAATTTCAATATTCAACTTATTCATCAGACACGACATAATAGGTAATCCATGTTAATTCTTATCAATAAAATTAAAACCTGATTCGGGAATTAAAAGAGAAAATGCTTGAGTGCAAACGTAATAGCCGAATGATAATATACTGCGGCCTCGGCTCGGAACAGGAAAAGAACGTGGTGGTTTTAGTCAAAAAGAATCAGTAAGTGTCTGATATCTTCTCGACTCCACCCGAAGTCAATTCGGAAATAGCACAGAGAACTCTTAATCAGCAATTTCACTCAAGGCTACTCGACTTAGGGCTGATTTTTCAATAGTCAGATATACATATGTTATCTGTGGCATAAATTTGTTGCTGTCACTGTCTTAGACAAACATTCTGATGCGACAGCATCATAATTCTGCCAGCTAACCACAGCTAACCAGCCCTTAAGAGAACAAATTTATCATAGTTACAACTAATAAAAAAATCTTTAAATATTTTCCAGGAATCTGCTCTGAAACTAGTGAATTGATTAAACATGTCGAGCCCAGATGTAATCGTTTTACTCTGTGCAGTAGGACAACTACACTTAGACCGGGATTTGTTTAAGATTTATTACGGGCCATGCAATTTGGTACTGTTTTAGCTGCATGTTGCTACTCGAAATGTAATAAGATAAATTGTGTTTTCCTCTGTAACTGTATTAAAATTAACTTATTATTGCAAGCTGGATTTTTAAATGAATTTGAAATTTAATCCTGTAAACACCTTAGCTTATATATCATTGTATGTTCCTTCAACTTTTTTATTGTAACAATGATGGCTATCTAACCGATGGTTCACTTGGTGGTAAGTGATCAGCGTCTGTCCATGGTCAGTCTCAATCATTTACATGATAGGGATGAAAGTGTTTTTTCGTGAGTCGATGGCGAAAAAATGATGTAGAGATCAAACCAAACAATTCCTCAGAGCACTTCCCGTGGTATCGGCGACAGAGAACATATTATAAGGAGGCTACTTCCCTACGCAGTGTCAAAGAGTCTAGCCAGTATGAGACAGAGCTGTCAACGATTCAAACAGCTCTGGTTCAGGTTCTGGGATGCCCCTGCCCAAAGATGACCATTATGCATCTAATTTCATATACGCATCACACTCAGACCCTAAAAATGATGTAAGGACAACATAAATCTTATATATATATATCAAAATGGATCGCAAAATGTGTTGGTAAGCGCATAACTCGACAAAGCCTGGACCAATTTTGCTTATTCTTTTTTTGTTATGTTTGTTATTGTCAGAAGAAAGTTTTTATCAAAGAAAATTTTAGAAAAGTGGAGGGGAAGATTAGGAAAAAGTGACCGTTCGATAGCGAGATAGTTGGACCCGTGCGAAGCGGGGGCGGGCCGCTAGTTATGAATAATTGCGAAAATCCAACCCACCCTGTGTCATTTTACACATCAGCTGGTTGTCGAGTGCTTCAAAAAACTTCATTACAATGTTAATTGCTTAAGACGATGATACATAATTCAGGAGCAATACCACTAGTCCCAAAATGTAACCCAACCAGAGCTAAACAGTACCAAAAATAATCACAGGCATCCAACTACGAATCCCAGTATTCGCATCACTAAACACTGGGACATAATTCACTGAGCCACGAAGTCTTATCTCCCAGCTACAATACATTTGAGTATAAATATTATCAGCATAGGTCAAAGTATGGGAGAGACATGCTTTGGCAGGAATGGGTCAGCTCAACCGGAGTGATATCATGGCGTCACAGAAAATGGGCGTGTAACAATCATAGCGTTGTGTTTCGCCATGTGATTGAGGTTACCGGAACCGGAAACCCAATTTCTAAATCTCCATACCCTAATCTACAAAAGGTTGCCAACCCAATCGTTTTGCCCCCGTTATTGCGTCTGCGCATATTACATCAAATAATTCGAAGTAAAAAAAATCTTGTGAAGTTTGAAGAAACCTATTTTATACTAAGTACTTTTGGAACTTTTGAAAAAAATAAAACTGTCCTTCTGTCTGTCTACTTCTTCGGTTAGCAAACCTAGGTGTCTGTTCACTAGTTCGCTTCCTGTTGATAGAAAGTTTAGACATATTAAATTAATGGGTTAATCACGTAACTGTTCGGCAAGGTTACTCGACTTACAAGCCACTCTAGGGGCCCATGTTTATATGCAAATCAGGTCGTCAATAGAATTTTGTTGTCTTGCTGGCTTTCACCAAGTTATTGATATTTAAAACACTGTTTTTAAACTTATTACTAAAGCAGAAGCTTTGTTGTACCCAGGGTATCATAATAGACTAGCATCCAATGGATTAGTGTGCAATCAAAGCAGGATTTGAAGAATTGATGAAAGAAAATTATCAGCTGTGTTTTACAACAGGAAAGCATTACACTCGTTTTACCATCTTCATATAATATGTACATGATAAACTTATGTGGCACATAGTTTACACAAAACATGTTCTATATTCAAACGTATAAATTGAGCCACGCAGATATTGTGAAACAGGTCGGGCTTGTCATATTCATACTCATTGGAATAGTACTTGTACAAACGCACAAGTTCGAACTCTGTTTATACAGTTATTTGTTCACTTTGTGATAACCTGCTTTTTATTGTGTAAACATATTGTACTAACTTCAGTATCCGGTTTTCAGTTTATTCTTGTAGTACATTCTAACGTGCTGTTGTATTTTATAATCAGGCCACTAAATACGTATTGTTAATCAAACTACCAGGTAGGTAATTTCTAATATTTCCTTGTTGGTGAAGTATTTTGGTAGGATTATGGTATTCGCTTCTTTAAGCAGTTTAAATAACCTTGCCGTTTGCCCGTCCGGATTTTTTATGTGACAAGTCAAGGCATATGAACACCAGCAACATTAAAAGTGTTTCAAGTACATTGGCAGCCTTTTTAGGATAAGGGTTTCGGAGATATGGGGAAGGGAAAAGATTGGGCCTCCGGTAACCTGCCTATTCCTGCCGAAGCATGGCTCAACCATTTTTGTAAATGGGTGATGTCACTTTCAAGCAGAAAATCAAGAAGGCATACGGTAGTTTCAAACTAGTCAAATTCAATATTTTTATTAAAATGTCATAATCGATACTTTTCTATGAAAATTGTATGAAAAACTGAGTTATGACGTCATAGTATTTTCGCGTCAAATAGCGTACTTATTTCTTAAAAATAGCCTAAAAAATTACAAAAATTTAGAGTATCGATCGATCGATGAATAAAAGTATAAGTAATTATTATTCAATATTTTATTGTATTTAAACGTCGAATTAATTTATTGTTGACCTAGGAAACTACCCAATTCTAACGTGCCCCAGAAGACGTGTAGCTTAAGATTTAGTTGTATATCTTGTATCTCTTTCTCTCACCTGCAGTCCTTGTTTATTGAAGTTAATATTGGTCCTGACTGTTCGGTGGTGTAGTGGCTGCACAGGACGCGCGTTGTTGCCTAGCGGTGCTTTCGGGGTCAACTGGGATCCTTGCATCAGTTGACGGAGGGCATACATCTGGAAAATAGTATGTGGATGTATATTTCATTACATATTTATTGTTATATAGGTAGCATATACGCATGAACAAAATCTTAACGTTTTTTTTCAAAACAAAATAATGTTCAGAATCCAATAATATGAATCAAAAGGAAATTCAAAACCTGGTAATTACCGAATTGGTAGTAATTTCTAAGTATATTTGGACTTCTCTGAAAAATGGTAAAATGAAATATCGTTAGGAAACCGATACTAGAATTTCTAATTATAAGTTTGAAATCGCCAATCCGCCTTGAGTAATACCCATTTGAGCGTGGTGATTAATACTCATTTCTTCGTGTGAGAATAGGATTTGCTCAGTCATCGACACTTATAGGTAGGCTAACAAAGTTGTAGTCCTTTAGCAATTCAAAGGCTTACAATATTTTTTTTAGATTTTCTATCTTCCTCATTCACAATCCGGAGGCCTTTTGGAGGATTAGGGTTAAATCCCTAATCCTCATAAAGGCCATTTGCGCCTATGTCACAAAAAACATACCTCTTGCTTAGAAATATAAATAGGTTTGTTGAAAATTATCCAGACTGCTGTCTCCCAGCACCCAGGGTGCGTTGTAGAGCCTTCGTAAGTCAGGTATTGTTGTGTGTTGGGTAGCAGGGAACTTAGTGGTAGGTGTTTTATGGGGAATGAAGCACCTGTCAACAAAGTTTTTGTTTAATTACATATATCTACTACTCGAGCGTCGTGGTACGAAGTTTGAGGCTACTCATGGTTCGAAACCTGGCAAATACCAATGTGACTTTTCCGAGTCATATGTACTTTCTAAGTCGTTTAGATATCATAGACTTGCGGGGAAGGAAAATATCGTGAGGAAACCTGGACTAAAAATTTCATATTATATTTGAAGTTGTGATTAATATTCACACCTTCTTATCTCACAGAATGATTTTTTCCAACAATAAGATCCATCCATTGTACATATTATACACTCTACAGTTACAAGGCTTTTTTTTTAAATGCGATCATCATCTGTTTAATATAGTGTATGTTTTTATTATATAATTTTGATAAGTTGTGCAAAAAAGTATATAATTATTATACTGTATAGATAAACAAAAAAAATGCAAAAATATATTAATTAGTAGTTCTTAGTAGTTAAGCTGCTGTAGCGCAACAATGCTTGTTGAGCAGCATCGTAAACGTTCACTTTTTTCAAACTAATAATTTTGCTAGTATTTAATTAATATTTTTTCACAATGTAAATTCTATACCTACCTCGATAAGTAACTTTGTTGAATGCACTGGTTATCAATCGAAAATCAGTGTTGATTGGTTCGCCAACCTGTGAACAAATTTAGTTAAAAACGTTTTATTATTGACACACAATAACTCATATTTATCCTTTACAATGATCTTTGTACTCACCTGTACCATTAGAGATATGCCGACAATTCCTTGAGACTTATGCTGTGCCTCCGACATGTTATGGTAAAGTTCTTTATTGAAGCCATAAAGTTGGATCTGTAAACAAGAATTGATTTTGTAACACAATATCATTAAATACTATAAAAAGTTAAGCTAAGAGAATACGAAACTTAAAGACAAAACTTGCTCAATAGCCTTAAAGATAATAAGACCAATAATTGGTATGTAATAACATTGTTTTTAATTTATATTCGTAACTTGCTATTGTCATATTGCTTGGCCTTCCTTGTGAAAGGAAAAAGAAAATAACTAACATGACTTATCAGGTGCCCATCTTCATATACAAAAATTATCTATATACATAAAAATCAATGCCACTGTTCGTTGTAATGCCTATAATTCAACAATGCCTTTACCGATTTAGGTAATTTTTGTCTTGAATTATTTGAATTATTTTTAGTAGACAAAATTAAAAGGAAAAGTGTACAATCGACATCTACGCTGATGGAGCCGCGGGCGACCGCTTAGTAGTATGTAGTAGTAGAATATAAAAAAAGACTGTTTAACAAGTACGATATTAGTAAATTTATTCATAAAATAGCTATCCAAAATCTCAATCTTCATTAGACGAAAAGAATTCATTAATTTTGTATCGAGTATTCGGAAAATTTGCCCAAATTTCATCGACGACAAAATTAAACGTTGCCTAGCCCCAATTATCATTGATTTTAATGAGGCAATAATCCACAATAGCCAGTAACGAAGCCCATTAACAAAATACTGGACCACAAATAAAGTTAAAACAGTAATAATGGCTAAATCAAAAAGTCATTAAGATTGGACCACAAAACCTCAACCGCAAAGTTTCAAATAATCAATGCTTGCTAAAATTTTCGTCACTAGTAGCTCGTTCCAAACATTTCTACTGATTAAATTGTTGAAATTAATAGCTCGGTTTCAGTTTTCAGTTAGTATTTCTTGCTATTGAAATTAGGTCAAAAGCATAGCAGAAATTATTATTATTATTATTTTGTAACTAAAATCTTCATTGTTATTTGAGCTTTTATTGTTTCTTATTGTTTTTGTGCATTTTCTAAGAATATATAATTAAGACACTACTGACGAACTGTGAAAGAGAATCTCATTAGGAAACCTGAACTAAAAATAAAGGTAAAACGTCTTTCACGCAAAAACGGATGGAACGATTTGGTTGAAATAGGTATGAGAATAGGTAATACCCTGGATTAACATATAGGTATTTAGGCTTTTTATCAACGTACAACGCGGGAAAAGCTAGTTTTTTGATAACATTCGAAATCGCCTATCCTTCTGAGTAAGCGTAGCGATTAATGTTCAAACCTTTTTCGTGTGCGAAAAGATTTTGCTCAGCAGTCAGCAGTGAGCACTTATATGCTAATGACGTTTGTTGAAATTATACAAAATTATCTTTTTTTTTATGTGATATAGGACGGCAAAGGAGCAGACGGATTACCTGATGGTAAGCAATCGGCGTCGCCCATGGACACCCGCAACAAAGAAGGAGTTACGAGTGCGTTGCCGACCTTTTAAGGATTGGTATTTTGGGGATTTTCAGATTGGGAAGGGATTGGGGTAGGGGAAGGATTGGGCCTCCGGTAACCTCACTCACACAGCGAAACACATCGTTGTGGTTGTATCACGCTGGTTTTCTGTGAGGCCGTGGTATCACTCCGGCCGAGCCGAACTTTTGTGCCGAAGCATGGCTCTCCCACACTTAAGCATGGCTCTCCCACACTTAAGCATGGCTCTCCCACACTTAAGCATGGCTCTCCCACACTTAAGCATGGCTCTCCCACACTTAAGCATGGCTCTCCCACACTTAAGCATGGTTCTCCCACACTTAAGCATGGCTCTCCCACACTTAAGCATGGTTCTCCCACACTTAAGCATGGTTCTCCCACACTTAAGCATGGCTCTCCCACACTTAAGCATGGTTCTCCCACACTTACTTTTAACACTAACTACTTACTTTTACTTTTAACACTAACTACTTACTTTTACTTTTAACACTAAAAACTGATTATAAAGGTATACTTTTAACTTACATAGGTTATTCAACCCTACCCCCCATACATTACTTCGATAGTACTAAATTACGATGGCAGTTTACAAATTAACACTTCCAATGCTACCGTTATCGAGCCCTCATTATTAGCCCCTTGGGGTCGCAAAGACCGAACTTTGACCCCCTTAAAGTTTGTGTTAATACCCTAATTATTGACTTCCGCGAGTTATAAAATGTAATTATAATGAGTGTGTCTCATAGATGTTTGAATTGCGAATCGTTGAAATGACAATAATACATATATTGTAATGATGAAAATTGTAAAACTTTTTTAAATTGAGAATTCTTCACTTCTCTCGAGTTTGAGATAGGCTAAAGTTTCTGCAATCCCAAAAAATATGCTTTATTTTTTGTTTATTTATATAGAAAATAAAAACAAATAATTCAGGTTTTCGTGTGATAGCCGAGGTTGCGGGGCTAGCGTGATACCGCAACCTCGGCCTAAAGCAGGAGAAGGAATGGAGAGGTTAAGAGTCTGACACTCCCTCTTGCTATATATACCATGGGCGAGAGAAGTTATTTGATATTTTACTCATCACAAAAAAAGGTCATCAGGTGATACATTATACGGATATTCTTTTGGGGAAGAAAAACGATGTACCTATACATATTTAAGCATGTGGCAAAAATAAATCCAGAAAATAAATAAATACTTTAACCTTTTTTTTATAACGAGTTTTTTTAAACCCTAAAATGATACACATAAATTATGTCAAATATTTCAACATAATAGCTTTAAAACGATCGTATTCAAAGTTAAAGAGCGAACTTCGGTCGTTGGGACCCTCCGAGCTAATAATGAGTGTTCGATAACAGTCGCGTTTTAGTGTTGAATTCTGAATTTGCATATTATCTACTGTCTGTTATTTAGTTATTTTTGTTATTTTTTTGTTAATGAATAGAAACGAATCTCACGTCGATTTCTTTTGTTTTTATAGAAAAATTTTAGTGACAATATCAACATTTTGTATTTACTTATGGCATTCAAAAAAGTTCCGATATCCTTAATATTTGAACGTTTTCTTTTCAATTTTTTATACATTTCACCCACTCTATGACTTTTTCCTTTGCCGTGTGTGTGTTTATAAACATACATTTCACATACACATCACACCCAGACTCGGAACAACAATTTGTGGATCACACAAAGAGTTGTTCCGTGCGGGAATCGAAACCGCGACACGTTGCACGGCAGCCAGTTGCTCAACCAAGCAGTCACAAGAAATGCATAATAATATACAAAATATTTGTTCCCCATACTTAAATACAGGATGTGGTATAAACTTCAAACTTCCAATACACAAACAGACCATAGAACTATACTAAGAAGCCACGCGTTTCATCACGAAACCCCTGAAGCTATATAAATAACTTAACCCTTAACTGCTTAATAAAAGCGGAATTAATTTGAAATCGAAGACGGCGTTCAGAAGTTAGCAACCGTTTGGAATGCGAGTGCATAGTTGCCAGGTTGCGGTCAGCCTGTAAGATAGTTAAACTACCTGACTATAGATAAAGGGGACTCTTCGTAATAATAAATTTAGTGACTGGATTTACTTCGAAATGAATTTAATTCTAACTATTATTATAAAATGTGAAAACTAGCCTGCTTGTTTTTGTGGGAACAAGAGCTCATTGTAGCTGTTGTTATCGCGGTCCGGCTCTAAACAGGGGAAGGAACGGGTTGGTGGTCAGTTTTTAGAAAGTCTGAAATACATACATGTATTCTCGTGTAATTTCATACATCATAAACCTTTGATCTTTTAAAAAAGTATTGATATTGACTAGTCGGAAATTACCATATTAAACATTAATGTTATTTAAAAAGTATAGGTACTTGCTAAGTGAATATTACTGGTAAACTTGAAAAAACCTAAACATATAGCACTACACGCAGTTTTTTTTTATGATACAAGCATTTTTTATGTCATAGAGCGTCAAACGCAGCAGACGGATTACCTGACGGTAAGCAATCGGCGTCGCCCGTGCTAACTTGTAACACAGAGGAGTTACGAGTGCGTTAGCGGCCCTTTGGAGATTATGGTTTACGAGATTTAGGGATAGGGGAGAGATTGGGGGAGGGAAAAGAAAAGGTATCCTTTTTGATAAATAATACTTACATTAATTGAGATACCTATTATACTAAACGCTGAATACTGAAGAATATTTCTTTTAAACCAACAAATAGACAGTCAATTTAATCGTTTGCAAAACAAAGGAATATGAAGAGAAATGGATTAAAACTTGCAACAAAGCTGCAATATAAAACATGGTTTAGTTTCCCTCGACGTAACTATACCTATATGCATGTATGTATCTATATATGTATGTATTATTTTCCGGTACAAACCAGTTTCTAGTTTAGTTGTTACAGAGGATATTCTGAACATTGTTATGAATTTATATCGAGAGGGATATTCTGATATTATTCCTTCGTTGAGTTGCGGTTGTGTGGTTGTAATTTAATAATACAAATACCTATATATTATTTCCTTGAACGTTATAATGATGGGGCTTGTAAAAGAATTTGGGTATTTTGTTGAATTCTACTTTTATTGTGAACGCGATAGTTTATAGGGTATCGATGGTAGGTAGGGTGTATTTTTTCATTGTCTGTATTATTTTAAGACACTTTGTTTTCTTTGTTTTTTTTTTTAAAAAAACGTTGCCCCACACTATGATTTTCTCCTGTGTCGTGGGTGCGTTTACAAACATACAATTTCACATGCACATGACACCCAGACCCGGAACAACAATCTGTGGATCACACAAAGAGTTGTTCCGTGCGGGAATCGAACCCGCGACACGTTGCGCGGCAGCCAGTTGCCCAGCCACCACGCCAACCGTGCAGTCAAGTCAGCAACACTGATATCTGAGTTACGGCATTTCTTCTCAGAGTAGTCAGATAGAAAATGCCGGCTTCATCTAGTTTTTTTATAACGTGTAAAACTGCTGTTTAACCTTCACCGTATGCCAGTGGAGTTTCAATAATCATAGAATGTACATATAACTCAGAAAAAGTCATTGGTACTTGCCAGGTTTCGAACCCTCCGGGCCACCACCACATACGGTGAAGGTAAACACAGTGAGGAAACCTGGACTTATAATTTCTAATTATAAGTTTGAAATCGCCAACCCGCATTGAGCAAGCGTGGTGATTAATGCTCTAACCTTCTCCGTGTGAGAAGAGGCCTTTGCTCAGCAGTGGGTACTTATAGGCTGATGATGATGATGATGATGATGATGAAAAGTGCTGTTTTATGGTGCTAAATAAATTAATTATTTCACAATTCCAACTTACTTCGCCAGGGAAGGTGTGATGGTCGATCTGGTGTTCGGAACCTCGGTTGTCCTCCATTCCATAATGGAAGTAGATTTCTTCGAACTGGTAGCGATAGGAGAGAGGTCCGCCACTGATGTTAACCTGATGCTTTGAGTCCTTCTCCACCCTGAAGACCAGAGATTGTCCCGTGTTTTGTAAGACTCCGCTGACCTGAGGATAGAGAAAATTGCATAGAGTATTTTTAAATCGAAGTTAAAAAAAGAACGAGGTTTCGCAATTCAACCTTATGTAATATGTTTTAAGGTTGGCTCGATCGGAGTGATCACCCTCACAGAAAACCAGCGTGAAACAAGCACAGCGTTGTGTTTCGCCGTGTGAGTGAGGTTAAGACCCAATCCTTCCCCTCTCAATCCCTTAATTTCCAACTCCCTAATCCCCAAAAGGTCGACAACGCACTCGTAACTCCTCCGTCGTTGCGGGTGTCTATGGGCGACGCTGATTGCTTACCATCAGGTAATCCGTCAACTAGTTTGCCGACCTATCACATAAAAAAACTCCACATGAAACAAGTCAGCAAGGACTCGATCTGTCTGATCGTAGGTTTGAAATGAATCTTCAAATAATTGCCATAATGAAAAAGAAGAATGACTCTCAACTTTTTTAAAACTTATATTAAACGGTCCGAAATATTATTAGGCTTATACCAGATTGAACTTTAATAATATTATGTCTTAAAAAAGTAATTTAGATCATCAATCAATCTTTTAATAGTATTTAGGTAACCTTGCCATTGTATGTTTAGAAAAGCCAAGCTTTGGCACGAATGGGTCGGCTCGACTGAAGTGATATCATACGGCTTCATAGAAAATCGGCCTGAAACAACCACAGTGATGTGTTTTGCCGTATAAGTGAAGTTACCGGAGATTTTTCTTTTATCCCTACACCCGTCCCTCCCCAATCCTTATATCCCCAAAACCCCTTATCACCAAAAGGCCGGCAAAAAGGTACCCCATTAAAAGTTCAACATCAACCGCCTTTAGATTAATTATTATGTCCAACGGTTCTTTATATAACAGTTCCATCGGGAACTCGTCTAGTTTCAAGCCAAGACAGGGGCTCATATTTATGAGCCTTCGAATTATGACGAAAATTCAACATTTTTATGTTCAAGGTGCCTGAAATAAGTGGCTAAAGTACTTAAACTTATTAGAAAACTCGTAGGCGTCTAAATTACTTGAACTTATATCAAGAACAGTCTTTAAAGTAATTTATTAAAGAAAAATGTTCGTAGCTATCTCTTACATAAACATTATCTACGACCGCGAGGCAAGTCACTCCCTCAACTAAAATTACATGAATGTACAAAATATAGAAGTGCTAAGTAATATTAAGCGTAGTTTTTGGTAGTGCAGAGGTGGTTTTAGTGTATTGGTGTATGGTGATGATAACTTCTTTTTTTGGAAAGAATATGTAAACAGAGGTGTATACTTAAGCACAAAGTGTCATTCAGAATCTTATGTTTTATTCGTTCTATGCTGGGTGTGTGCTATCTGCTGGGTATGGTCACGAAACAACACTTTTTGTGACCAAAACATTGTTGTTCCAGGTCTGGGTATGTTTTTTTATGTAAAAGGTCGGCAAACGAGCAGTCGGATTACTGATGGTAAGCAATCAGCAATGAGCTTCGCGCATGGACACCCGCAGCGGAGGAGTTACGAGTGCGTTGCCGACCTTTTAGGGAATAGGGTTTTGAAGATTAAGGGATTGGGGAGGGATCGGGGGAGGGGAAAGATTGGGCCTCACTCACTCGGTGACACCACCGCTTTTCTTTGAGGCCGTGGTATCGCTTCGGTCGAGCTGACCCATTCGTGTTGAAGCTTGGCTCTCTTTACCGCTTAGTGTGATGTACCTTTATCGGGAATCGTACGTTTTTAAACGCTCCCTTGTAGGTGAAAACTCTTACGGGACATTGTCTTCTTTAAAGAAAAAAGAATGTGCTTGTGTATATTTGTTAATGTACCCGAGACGCAAACAAAAAATCTATATTTTTATGTGATAGGACAGCAAACGAACAGACGAATTGCAGATCTGATGGTAAGCAATCAGCGCCGCCTATAGACTCCCGCAACAACGGAGGAGTAACTAGTACGTTGCTGACCTTTTGGAGATTAGGGTTTTTGAGATTTAGGGATTGGGAACGGATTGGGGGAGAGGAACGATGAAGCCTCCGGTTACCTCACTCACGTCGCGAAATACAACGCTGTGGTTTTTTTACGCCAATTTCTGTAATTCTGTGTGCCGTGGAATAAAGTAGTCCGACCAAGCCGACCCATTCGTGACATACCATGGCTTTCCCACATTTCTAGTAAGGGGAACAGTTAAAAAAAAAGAAAAAAGGAACTTATTGTATTATACATTGTAATCTGCCATACATCGCGCAAAACATAAAACAGATTAATTTTTTGCTTTGCTACGAAACAGTAAAATAATTTATAACACTTTCTGACAAGAACTATCCAACAGACACTTTCATTATCTTTAGATCTTCGTTGTTCGCGTGTCAACACTCTATTTATCATGTCCACTCAAAGCGCATAAGTTGCCAGGTTCTAATCAAGGTGTGACCCATTGATTGATAGAAACACCCAATGGGGAGCCACGTGATTCATAGCAATTCGTGTTCATTATTATTTTTGTGTAAGTCTGTCTTGTATTTGAGCCCTCCATTAGCTATATCAGCTGTGTCTTGTTGCCCTTGACTTCATTATAATATGTTATTTTACTTGGAATCGATTATTGTCTTGTGTTGCTTGATCGACCTATTGTCCTTCAATTAGACTGATTAAGTAGTCATATCAGTGAAAAAAGAAGATAATTATTGTAAAAGCATTAGGATTTTCTCATTGTATAGTGTAATCATACAATTTTACAAACTCCGTATCACTCCTAGACCGGGAACAACAATTTGTAAATCAGACAAAGAGTTTTTTCGTGCGTTTTAATACAACAACATACTTATATCACTTGAAACAGACACTTCAACCAACGTTGGAGTTTCTTGCTTATTCTTCTTCATTCACATCTACATTTTGGAAAGAGCACGTAACTTCACTGACGAACATACAAACGATTATTTTATTTTGATGTTTCAAAAGTACCTGTTTATGGTTTTGGCTTTTTCTTCGACTTTGACCAATAATACCATCCATTCAAAAATACCATCAGCAATAGAAACAAGCATAATTATTATTAACTAGCTATTCTTGCGTGGTTTCACACGCTGCTCGGCTCCTACAGATCGTAGCGTGATTATTTATAGCCTATAGCATTCAGGAAAATTGTAGTGAAAGAATTTTGGAAATCCGATCAGCGGTTCCAAAGATTACCTACCCCCTACATACAAACTTACAAATTTTACGAATATTATAGAAGTATAGATTTCAGTTATATGGTACCTTAATACTCTTTAATATATAGCAGTGACTACCATATGGAAGCTACTTCTACACAAAACCACCCCTAAACGGGCGCCGTGTATGTTGCAAAAACGAGCCTGATAGCCCGATAGGCTATCGCGAGCCGCATACATTAGCATCGCATTGAGCAAGCTTGTAACACACACTAAATGAATAATTCTGCACGAATGTTACATTTATTGAACATGGAACGGCTATAAGTAGCCGTTGTATGATATTCTTTTTGGTCTTATTAGGTTCATTTGTTACCGTTACATTACTGCACTTGTTCTCGAAACCTTGGCTGAGGAAGTCCCTTAAAAGCCTAGATTATTGAATTATTTGTGGTAGCCCGAAGGTTAAGGCGTCCGCATTAAATGCACGAGGGTGCCGGTTGGAAGCCTGGCAAGTACCAAAGTTACATTTTCTTCGGAGATTAAGGAAGAGGGTCTTTACTCAATAGCGGGCACTTACAGGCTGGTGATAATATTTGGAACGAGCAAATATTGAAAGATCTACTGGAACTTCTCTTTGTTTGGCCGTGTGAGTGAGAGGTGACCTACGTGGGAATAATAATCCTAATATACTTAATCAAAATCTTAATATACTTAACGGATAAAAGGCCAGTAACATTCTTATCACTTTTTGTTGTTTTGGGTATCCATGGGTGGCTTTAATTGCTTACCATCAGGCATAAATTAAAGCTTCAATAAATTAACCAACTAATCTACATCATCATCATCATTATCATCACTAGCCCACTGCTGAGCAAAGACCTCTTCTCACGCGAAAAAGGTTTGAGTATTAATCACCACGCTTGCTCAATGCGGGTTGGAACTAATCTATATATTCGTCTAAAAATCATTCAGTGTGTACCAAGCTTTATTTCCTACATATTACATTAAAGAATGGAAGCGTTTTTTACTTGTTTAATGGATATTACATGTTCGTAATTACAGAGGTATCAATTAGGTGTCTACGTGCACGGACATACGATGGTGCCTATTTATTATAGGTAACGTGACACTGACAGCAGACACCTAGTTCTTTGTATTACTTAGTAATTGTTCAAATTGGTTATTTTGTTTTGTTTATTTACGTTAGTCAATAGGGAATTTCCAAAATGTTAAGTACAAAAATTATTATTAGCTTCATAGTACTTAATATTAATAATGGAGAAGGAAAATATCGAGAATAAATCTTTTTTTTTTTCATTAAAGTCTCCCGCTCGAAACGGGGTGATGTAACAAAGAAATGTTAAACTGATTGAAAAAGAGTACCTAAACCTTGGAGTTTCTTGCTCGTTCTTCTCCATAGGAATCTACATTTTGGAACGAGCAAATAGCTTCACTAGAGGACAGACATTTACAAATATATTTTTTAACATTTTTTGCTTGACCTTCATAAGAGCCTACTGTAATCTATTTAAAATAAATTATTTTGATTTTGACTTCGCTCCACCCAGGTTGAGAGGCCTGCGGTCGGCGAGTAAGGGCAGCTCGCCGCCCGACCAGAACCAGGCCCGAGCGTACGCCGCGTAGCGTTCCGCGCGCGCCTCAAAGAGCCAATAGACCACCACAGACGGGGCCCTAAAGGGCTGATGTTCAGCCGGGGTTGCGGGGTAAGCGCAATGAGACACCGTGACCTCGGCACAGAGCAGGAGGAGGAGCAAGGAACAGGGGGGTTTTTAGTCAGCAAGAGTCTGACACTCCCTCCCGCCCGGCCCTGGGCGGGAGAAGTCATTTGATGATTTTCCCCTCACAAAAAAAAAACCCAGGTTGAGAGAGTCATAGGACGATTAACCCGGTTAAAAATAGCCTACGATTTCTAGAATAAAATGCATATATTGTTTATGTAAAGGTTTACTGATATTCAGTTGTTTTTATCTTGTAGGCTTATGTTAATGTTCGTGGAAATCGTGTAAAGTTGTAGTGTTGTCGCGGGCTTACCATGTTTTTGCATAGGATTAACGTGAAAATGGCCGTCGGTGTAATGTTCCTGGTTTAAGACCTTTCATATCGATTGGTCGAGCGTTTTTTTGTTTTGTAATGTAAAGAGATAATCAGTTTTTTTCTATTAAACTTTCTTCTTTTACTTTGTTTAGTTAACATGTAATATGACAATGAATGATGAATAAAAATGACTTTTTGCATTCGTAGGAGTTTCTGGAACTCTTTCTAGTTATATTTTCCACTATCTGAGAACCTATAGGTACTACAATTCTACTACACTACAGGTGATGCTGAGAGTACCAATTAGACAGTTACAGAAAAGTGTGTAATAGTTACTCGAAGTAATTAAGAAAAAAAAATTGTTTAATATTTGGTTTCATGCTCTGTGTGTGTCTGCATTTTTTTTTCTTTCTATTCTTTTCTGTATGTGACATAAATCACGAACGTCCCTCTCGAATCAGTAGACATGTAAGTACTCAACTAATCAATATCTTAACTTATAAATCTATCCTGTTTCTGCGATATTGGTCATAGTGTAATGTTTTGTAGCTTTCCTCGATAAATGTACTATCCAACACAAAAATAATTGTTTGATTCGAACCAGTAGTTCCCGAGAATAATGTGTTCAAGGAATACAGAATCCCTTTAACTTTAGCTAATATTAGTATTCAACGTGTATTTAAAAATGGAACACTAAAATGTAGGTATGCACACCCATAACTATAGAATTACTGCTCCAATTTGGATAAAACTGTTTTGTAGGGGTCCGTTCCTTTGTCGTTAGAACAATGTACATATTTACAGAAGAAAAATTCAATTCATCCACTGGGAATATAGGGAAATAGAATCCAGACGAAGCCGAAGTCCGACTAGTAATTTATTTAGTAGAAGGTCAGTATGTATGAAAAATTCACACGTCACGTGTGTAGCGAACTTAACGCGTGTCATACTTTTAAATTTATTACTACAATGTAGGTACTATTTTACACTGGTTTCATGTGAACATAGTTTTTTGTAAATATACAAGTACTAACATGTTAAGAAATAATCACACCATGTATGATTCACCGCAATCCGTTCCTTGAAGCTACCACCATCGCTGCTTTGTTTCGCAAGACCTCCCGAACATCGAGCGCTACCGAGAAATATCATACCGTGGGGACCAACCTGTGATTCACTGATTGCGTTATATCGTTCGATTTAATTTAATTATAATTAAGACTTTTGGTATTCACTTTTTGTTCTGACATCGAACAGATTGTCGCGTCTTAGAAATAGTTAATTGTAACACTAATTACTTAATTAAACGTGTAAGTAAATTCGTTTCGGTTCATTTTGCATCCTCAACGACAGCCCTACATAATTAACACGTACATAATAATATTACATATATATATAAGTGTGGCGGAGCCATGCTTCGGCACGAATGGGTCGGCTCGACTACAGTGACTCACAGGAAACCGGCGTGAAACAACCACAGTGTTGTGTTTCGCCGTGTGAGTGAGGTTACCGGAGGCCCAATCTTACCCCTACCCCAATCTCTAAATCTCCAAATCCCTCATCTCCAAAGGGTAGGCAACGCACTCATAATTTCTCAATTGTTGGTGTCCATGGGCGGTGCTGATTGCTTACAATCAGATTATACGTTTGCTCGTTTGCCGACCTATCACATAATTAAAAAACCCTTCTGAAATTGGTGTCTAAATAATCGCAGAAAGTACATATCACTCGAAAAATGTCACATTGCTACTTGCCGGGTTTCTAATTTTCCTGTAAGAGGCTTAACCTCCAGGCCACACTTTAATATTTGCCTAGATAAAATCAAATAATTAACTGTTAAGGTTACTGCTAAATTGTACTTGACCAGTGACTGATCAATCTATATCTATACCATACTAATATTATAAAGAGGTAAAATTTGTAAGTTTGTATGTAGGGGGTAATCTTTTGAACCGCTGGTCGGGTTGCCAAAATTCTTGCACTGATAGATAGCTACAATGTTCCTTAGTGCTATAGGATATAAAACATGACGCTACGATGAAATAGAGCAGCGGGTGAAAGCGCGCGAGAGTAGCTAGTCTTATGTCAAGTCAAACTTAATTGTTTTTAAAAAATGAAAAATGTCTGTAACATTTTTCTTGCTTGTTATTTTAAGGCCGTAAACTCATATTTACTATACCTAAATCTCATATTTACTTTACCTAATGAAATATTATAATTTTTAGCGTTTCGTGGTGTTTTTATTTTGAAGTTGGTTTTAAACAAATATATACAATTTCTATGGTATACTTACATTAAGATTTTGAATATGGAAAACTAGTTTAATAAATATTACAAACCTTGTGTTTGTCAAACTGTATGTCCCTCAGCCAGGGGTCGAACAGCAACTTGTCGGGTTCTATGTTGACTGGACTCTGTCGTCGGCCCTTGTTGCACATGCTCCATTGTGGGTTTATCAGACCCCAGAATCCGGGTCCTGAGAACAAAAGGATATATTAATAAAATACTTTCAACATTCCCCGAACATTAATGTCTATATATACGTTTGGGAGTGTATAATTTGAAGATTTTTTATTGATAGAATTTGTACTGTTCGCGTGAATAGTGGCCAACCTTCAAATAGTTATGTAGATGCGCTCTACAACCTGATAGTGGACTGTTACGGGCTTTTTATGATAACGTGCAAAAAATGTTGTTTTACGTGTCCAGCCTGGGTTGCAAAACTCCTCCACCAGATCTCATGGCCGTGATCCAAGAGTCGAAGAAAAGAAAATCAAAGAGGTTTGTCCCCTCCTCGAAGATCGTGATAGCCTCGGATACCTCGGTCATGACCCTATGAGACGCGCTCAGTGCACGAGCTGACCACCTACTCAAGTCCAGTGCCCTTACAGAACCCTGTACGTATGCGATCATGGATCGAACGATTGCCAATCCCCTCCCCCGCCCATACAAATTCACATACACAGGACTGTAGAAGTCATTTGAAGACTGTCCCCTCTAAAGAAAACCGTCCATGTGGTTTTGCTTGACCATCGGTGTACGGTCCCCTAAAAACACCATGGAGAAACACGTAATTTTTTACGTATTTTATTTATTCATAGCCAATTCTAAAGGTGCAGTCGTAAAACAAAATTTCACTATTTTATTGTTTGTTTCAGTTTTACTGCTGTTAAATCGACGTTAAACATTTCAGTCGCTGATTTTTAAAAACATTTTTGCAATAATTGTACATGAAAGCAAAAAAGTATTTATTATATCTTTGTATATTTCCTGATATGGAAAATGTTGAAGCAGTATGGCCACTGACGACATTTTTTCTCAGTCTACTATATTTTCTATTCAGTTTTATAAGAAAGACTTTCTCCTTAGTCACGAGTGCTTTATCAAACATGCAAGCAAGCGTAGCTAGGAAAATAACCAGCCACTGATCAGTTAGTACCCGAACTATCCATGCAATTTCACTTTTTCAACACCCTTTCTCATAAAGTGGCTCTTATTCCCAAGCAATTAGGCACACACATAATGACACAATATTATCAAACTGTAACTTTTTCATTACTATTATTCACGTAATCGGTTCCTTAAGACTCTCGCCTGGCTCGGGCCTTAATGCGCCTCAGCGGTAATCGCCAACTTTACACCCTTGTACCATAATATACTATTGGTTTTTTTTTATGGTATAAGTCGGCAAACGATCTGACGGATTACCAGATGGTAAGCAATCGGCGCCGCCCATGGACACCCGCAACACCAAAGGAGTTACGAGTGCGTTGCCGGCCTTTTGGGGATAGGGGTTGTGGATATAAGGATCGGGAAGGGATAGGGGAAGGTGCGGGATTGGGCCTCCGGTAACCTCACTCACACGGCGAAACACAACGTTGTGGTTGTTTCACGCCGGTATTCTGTGAGGCCGTGGTATCGCTCCGGTCGAGCCGACCCATTCGCGCCGAAGCTTGGCTCTCCCACACTTAAGGTTTACTGTCATGTAAACCTAGGTTCATACACAGACAGACATTCGTTTAGATCCTACAAATAACCTTGGACGACTAACTAACAGTTGATAATATTGTATACTTCGGACCAAATAAAAAACATAAAGCAAGCTAATAAAAATTGATCTACCACCATTTGGAATTGTCCACCATCGTCTATTGACATGGCAGTTAAGATACTATCAGGACCAAAACATTCACTTCGAATCGCACTTATGACACTCCATACGTAATTAAGAATATCGACTATTTAATGACACCAGATTAAAAATATTTTCGAATGTTGTACGCTATAATTAGTAAGTATATCTTAATTGTGATGATCGACATCGTTCTTTCGATTATTTCGAATTTAGAATGTAGCCACATTTATAGACTCCATTTTTTTATTTATATAAGGTGTAGGTAATGCGGCCAAACTTATTTAGTCTATATCTTTTTTTACTTGAGTCGAGTTTTTAGTATGTTTATACAGATACAGAAACCCCGTAGTAACTTTAATATTATTCCATTTTTAATCAAAACAACGACTATATTTTTTTTTCAGAAAATATCAAAATATTTCATGCTCTTAAATAACCTCATTTAATGGCGACAAGTTCCCTTGTTGACATTATTTCTTAAACATAACATAAAAAGACAAATAAATGGTGGTAGACGCTTGCTTGCTGCTTGTCTGCTTGCTTGCATGCTTTTCTGTGTTAAAAGAGATCTTTTGAGTAAAGTTGTTAAATAAAGTTTGCAGTGAACACTTTTATAATAAAAATAAAAAATAAAAATTACCTATATAAAAATCTATATTATTATCGATCCGATATTTTTAGAACCACTAAATTGATTCTAGTGAAAACACATTTCCCGCTTCAACACTCCACAAATGTAGCACTAAAACCCTAGGAATTCAGTTCACAAATCAAATTAAATTCAAATTACATACATTTCAAAAGAGATTAGTTATAAATGATGATGAAACCAAAATTGCGTAAAACGTTATTCAAATGGAAGCCTATTCAACCCTGTAATAAGCCGTGATATCATTCAATGGGGTCACGGGGACCGCAAAATTTGGTCACCATAGGGTATTGAGTCGTAGGTAATGCGTAGTGTAGGGTTAGTCCTTCCATACCGTTGTGGGGGTCATTAGCACGAACCTGATGTCCCTTCAGTATGTAATATCCTACATTTTTCTGGATTTTTATTAAATGGTCTTAGTGCGAAATTTTGTGTTATTTCAGCAAAATAATTAATAATTTTATACATCAAAATCCTTGTACCCCCCGAGGTTAAGTTACACTCCTTATATAACTTCATCATTGTGACTTTTTTGACTTATATGCTTTTTTTCTAAGCTGATTTAGAAACCACTAATAAACGACGAAGAAAAACATCTTAAAAGAATCAGGACTTATATTTTCTGATTATAAGTTTGAAATCACCAATCTGACTTGAGCAAGCCTGCCTGTGATTAGTGTTCAAACCTCCTCAGAGTAAGAAGAGACCTTTTGCTGAGCATCACCAGCCTATAAGTGCCCTATAAAGAGAACTTCTCAAAATAATATTACAAAATATTTTTTTATTGTTAATAACAGGAATCAAAGTACACAAGACTTTTAATCTTTCAATCATACTAACATTCTTTGTATTAATAAACAAAGAATCCAAATGTCAATCCAGAACTCACCCAAAAACCATGAAACCTACCAGAAAATGTTGGAAGAAATCTCCAAATTCCATTGTGAATAGGTACATTGAAATTTCGGGTCGGCCGAACATCGATAACCCCATATAATGACATGGTTGAGCGCGCATTATCATTAAGATACTATCTATGATCATTACCGTCCACATTATATGGATGTATGCTAGTATGACCCCGATATTCGTGTCATTGAGATTGTGTAGCTGTGATTCCACCTGTGAGGTAATAGAGCTGACCTTTTCGTCCTTTTCAGTTGAGGTCGTTGGGGGTACTTCTAAAGATTGATTTAAAGGAAGTTATTTATAGTTAGTTTTAATTAGGTATGTGTTAAATCAGATGCGTTTTGAATTCTGCTACAATGTTTTGTATCAATAATCTTTGAAGTTAAGTTAGACTCTGTTAGCGTTAAATATCGTCTTAATCGTCGATAGCCGATAACTTTTTTCACGGAAGAAAATCACTAAATCACTTCTATCGTCTCGGAGAGTGTCAGACTCTAACTGACTAAAAATCAGCACGTTCCATCTTCTTTCTAGATGCCTGATGGCTATGGCAAATCCTCTCTTTAAGGATAAAGCCTTGTTAAGGAATCATTGCGTCCATGGACACGCAACACCAGAGGTGTCATAGGTGCGTCAGACTGATTACCTGATGGTAAGCAATCAGCGCCGCCCATGGACACTCGCAACATAGGAGTTACGAATGCATTGCCGATCTTTTGGGGATTAGGGATTTGGAGATTTAGGGATGAGGGAGGGATTGGGGAGAGAAAGAATTTGGCCAATCTAGTTTTTTTCCTTTAACGTATCATTTTCATTTTGACGTCAAATTCCTGTTCTGATTCCTTCTGTGTGTGCACCACATAAACATTTCTACTGTTCCAATCAACCTCTAAATACATTGCTCAACAACCAGTGGCCCAGCCACAGCGCCAACCATCCAGTCAAAACATATAACTGGGCATATGAATTTAAAATATTCCGTTAGGCATTGTAATAATCTGATTATAATTGGCTATTCAACAGAAATATGTCAAATTAGTAGCTAATGATAACGGTATAATAGAGTATCGATATTTTATCTGATTGTATGTGGATAGTTCCAAAATCTATACTTTATTTTATAAAGAGGAAATATTTTTTCGTTTGTTTATTTGAATTGAATAGACTCTCGAGAGCTTTCAGATCGAGCTATCGAATCGTTTTGAGTCCCTGGAGAATTGCGAGTCAGTGGACGAGATTAGCAACAGGTTTGTAGAAACTGTCCATGCGGTCGGGCCGAAGTTTTTTAGACCCCGCTGAAAAGACAGACCGCAGAAGCTTACCAATCGCACCCTCAAACTCATGGCAGAACGACGTGCTATGGTACTCCAGACCTCTGCCGATGCTAAAGCACATCGGCAGCTCAATAGACAAATATGGAAGTCCATGCGACACGATATCAGCAACTTTAACGCCAATAGGGTTAAAGAAGCGATAGAGCGGAACCAAGGCTCCAAAGTGTTCGCTAGGGACATGTCTATTGGGCAAACACAGCTGACGAAGCTGAAGGCGGAGGATGGCAGTGTGGCGTCGACGAAGGCCGAAGTTTTGGGTGAGATCGAGAGGTTTTATGGACAGCTATACACATCGGTCACTAAACCTGTTAGCTCAGTCGCCGATCCAAGAGCTAAACTCACCCGACACTATACCGAGGATATCCCGGACATCAGCCTATACGAGATTAGGATGGCCCTCAAGCAGCTCAAGAACAACAAGGCGCCGGGCGAGGACGGAATCACATCAGAGCTTCTGAAAGCGGGCGGAACGCCGGTACTGAGAGTCCTTCAGAAGCTCTTCAACTGCGTCATATTCGAAGGAGCAACGCCGGCGGCATGGAGCAGAATTGTGGTGGTACTATTCTTCAAGAAGGGAGATAACACTCTACTGAAAAATTATAGACCCATCTCACTTCTGAGCCATGTCTACAAGCTATTCTCGAGGGTCATCACAAATCGTCTCACACGTAGGTTCGATGACTTCCAGCCTCCCGAACAAGCCGGTTTCCGGAAAGGCTATAGTACCATAGACCACATCCATACGCTGCGGCAAGTTATACAGAAGACCAAGGAGTATAACTTGCCACTATGCTTGGCGTTTGTGGACTATGAGAAGGCTTTTGATTCGATGGAGACTTGGGCTGAGTTAAGATCTCTCCAGCGGTGCCATATTGACTTTCAGTACATCGAGGTTTTGAAGTGCTTATACACAAACGCCACTATGTCGGTCCAAGTACAAAACCAGAGCACGAAGAATATTCCTCTGCAGCGAGGTGTAAGGCAAGGAGACGTCATATCTCCGAAACTGTTTACCGCTGCATTGGAAGACGCTTTCAAGCTCTTGGAATGGAAAGGATCTGGCATCAACATCAACGGCGAGTACATCACTCACCTCCGGTTTGCCGACGACATTGTAGTCATGGCAGAATCGCTGGAGGATCTGAGCACAATGCTCGATGACCTCTGTAGAGTTTCTCAACAGGTAGGGCTCCGAATGAACATGGACAAGACGAAAGTCATGGCAAACGCCCATGTCACGCCCTATCCGATATCAGTTGGGAGTTCTAACCTCGAAATTGTTGACGAATATGTATACCTGGGACAAGTGATCCAGCTAGGTAGGTCCAATTTCGAGAAGGAGGTCAATCGTCGAATCCAACTTGGATGGGCAGCGTTCGGGAAACTACGCAACATCTTCTCGTCCAACTTACCTCAGTGCCTTAAGACGAAAGTCTATAATCAATGTGTGTTACCAGCGATGACCTATGGAACTGAAACGTGGTCTCTTACTGTGGGCCTTATAAAGAAGCTCAAGGTCGCTCAGCGCGCTATGGAGAGGGCTATGCTCGGAGTTTCTTTGCGAGACCGTATAAAAAACGAGGATGTCCGCAAACGAACAAAGGTTTCCGACATAGCCCAGCGGATTAGTAAGTTGAAGTGGCAATGGGCAGGGCACATAGCGCGTAGAACCGACGGCCGCTGGGGCAGAAAGGTTCTCGAGTGGAGGCCACGTACCGGCAAGCGCAGCGTAGGACGTCCACCCGCAAGGTGGACAGACGACCTGATTAAGGTCGCAAGAAGCCGCTGGATGCAGGTCGCTTCCAACCGGCCTATCTGGAAGTCAATGGGGGAGGCCTATGTTCAGCAGTGGACGTCCTGTGGCTGATATGATGATGATGATATGATGAATAGACTCTAAAACACCTCGACTGCTTTGGAAAATACGTTCACGGTTGGGTAGCTAGACTAACCCCTGTAAATGTAGGTTATATATAAACCACTTGAGTAAAACCACGTGGCACAGCTATTTTTAAATAAATCGAGGGTCAATATTTAAGATTTTAACACTTTTTTGTTAACTTAATTATTATGTTTTCAGCTTACGCACGTAATGATTAGACGAGATACTCGACTAGTTTCAAGCCATGCTAGAGGCCCATATTCATGAGCAGCATTCCGCGTCACGCGACTCGGCGACTGTCACGCTGCTACTTTAGTAGCCGAAAACATAATAACTAATTTAGAATGTCTCACGAAAGTTGTAATAAAAACTTTTTTGTTTAGATTCAGAATTGTGTTCTGAATGTCTGTAGGTATTTAACGAGGGCCCTACTCAGCGAAATTTATTTAATGATCATTTAAAAAGTTACTTAGTAACGTTTTTGCTTCGATTCTAAATGCGAAAAACTGAGTTAAGTACCCATTTTATGATTCTATGTAAGGCGGGAGTCTTGGAAATGTATTGTTTCGCTGGAAGCTTTTAATTATAATTTACTAGCGACCCGCCCCGGTTTCGCGCGTTTGCAATGCTGATACTAAATTTCTCCACTATTTAATGGACGTTATATACATATAAACCTTCCTCTTCAATAGATAGAGTGTGTCTATTAAAAACATATATAGGGACAGAGAAAACGACTTTGTTTTATACTATGTAGTAAAGACAAAAAAAATATTTATAAGAGTCAAGAGTCAAGATGTAATAATTATTTGTTCAATAGTTTTTAAACCTATAATAAAACCACGGTTCTTCCTATGGCGGTTAAACGACTGACTTTTATTTTGCAAAGAAAACAGTAGTACACATTGTAGACACTAGATGGCAGTACAAGTCTCATATCTTAGATATTAACATTTTAACAATACCGACCTGATATGCCATCGTACGTCCACCATTCTTCCCAGCTACCGGATATATCTGCAAGAGAAAAAAACAAAAATTAAACATTTCTACCTCAAATCCTCAAACAGCTCGAGTCCGCTAACAACTCACAATAGGCCAGCAACGCACTTCTTTGTTATTGGAAGTGTCCAATTTTAGCGACGATTGCTTACCATTAGGTAATATTTATTTATTTTTATATTCTCGCCCAGTTTACAATGATGGACTTAACGCCTTAAGCGTTGCTAATGTACCTTCATAACTTCATAAATAAAACGATCTTACAAAGATAAGAGTCAATCTCTACTGTCGTCAGCCACCAGACTATGTCACATTTTCTACAAAAGATCTAGTTAAAGACTGCCGTATCGTTTAGATAATGTAGATATTCGGGGTAGGTGGTATGCAGCCCCCATATAACCCCCCACATAACCAGGCCGAGTGTATGCAGTAATACAGGAAGTTACGGTAAGTGGAGTTTAATATAAATTCAAAATAAAATAAATTAAACATTATATATAATAAGAATTTTAGAATTCGATACATACAAATTGACATTATATGGATAGCTACAATCGAATGGCACACCTATGAAAATAATTTCAGGTATATATGTATATTATGTATATGCTTTGGTCAGAAAATTAAGACTCTCAGTGCTGCACGTCGATTCTATAAAATTTGTGTGATTTGGAATCGTGTCCGAGTGCGAAGTGAGCGTCGAAATGACGGGGAAATTAAATTTTAGAATGCCACTTTTAACGTCATCTCATACTTTATCTATCAAAATGTTGCTGTCAATTTAGTTCAACTCGCAAGTGTAGCGCTAGTGTACTACTACTCACAGCGGATTCAGATTCGAAATTTAGAATGAAGTCTTACAGAATCACACCCCTGAGACCAAACAAAGGAGTTACCTTTGTTACCTATGTTCAGCTTAATAATTTTTAAGAATGGAAGACACAAGCTTCGGCACGAATGAGTCAACTCAACCAGAGTGATACCACGGCCTCAGAGAAAACTGACGTGAAAGCGTTGTGTTTCGGTGTGTGTTTGTGTATATTTTCTGGAGGGCCAATCTATTTTCATCTAATGAAAAAGGCCAGGAACCCACTCCTTTGGTGTTGGAGGTGTCTATCGGCGGCGCCGATTAGACCATCAGGTAAACCGAATTATGGTATGGAGTCCTATCTCATTAAAAAAAGTAGGAGGCAACTTATGCTGTCGAAGAAATGAATGAATCAATCTGCATACCATTTAACTTAGAAATCAAAGAATTTCACCAGGTTACTTATGTAAAATTATTATTGGCAGAATATTCGTTTATTTTGACGTTTCAAAAGTACATATTTATGGTTTAGTTGGAATAACCTTTGACTTTCTTTACCTTTGACGGAGACGCACAGGAGGACGAGTATGAAGAGCGAGCATTGGTGCATCGTGTTGATGCCCCGGGTCACGCTGGACCGCTCATCTGGCTGATACTACTTCTGAAACAAAAGAAATACTATATTCAAAACTAACTCTGGTAAGTTTTTATTTTAAAATTAGCTGACCCGGCAATCTTCGTACTGCCTCAAATATAACTATTGTTTTTTTTTCTTTTTTGTTTTTTTTTTCGCCTTTTAACCTTCCCGGTATATCCAGGAATATTTCAAGACCACAATAAGCCATGTCAGTCCAGCTTTTCTCGAGTTTTAGCAAGACTACCGAACAGCATTTCATTTTTATATATATGTATAAGATGACGTTGCGCATGCCATTGCTTGCTGAGGATTTGTTTTGTAAATGACACTAACTTCAGAACGGCTTTTTTTCGTGTGAGGAAATACAATTTTTGTTATGATTTCTCCAGCCCTAGGTAGGCTGAAAGGGAATGTAAGCCCCGATTTTAAGAGCAATACCGCACCGCATTCCCGGCCCTGAGTAGGAAAAGGAACCGCGTGGTTTTTTGTCACTCAAAGTCTGACACTTCCTCTACCTCACCGTGGTCTAAAGAAGTCATTTGATGATTTTCTCCTCTCAAGAAACCTGGTTACGAAAAGAATGGTTACGAAAAGAATGGTTACGTTAAGAAACCTGGTAATTACAACAAAATTTTCACTCATTGTTACCTCTGTAATCATCATGGATTTTAAATTTCTGAATTGAATGAGCAAAATAAAAGTTTATCTTATATAACATTTGATTTTGATTTGATTTTTACACAATAACAAGAAAGCATTTTCTTGTTATTGTGTATTGTTGTCAAAACAAATAATACTCTTATGTGACATGACAAAAAGATTAATTTCGCTTGCATGTGTAGAGTTCATTAACACTGCCAGTGTGTATTTGTCTTGCTAATAGCAACAGTTAATTGCTAATTAGGTTTCTGTTTTTGAATACTTTTTATACAAAAACATGGTTGTAACATAGGACCACTAAATATATGTATAAGTGCATGTCTATAATATAGACACCCAGATTTTTGGAATAAGAGAAAAAAAAGGAAGGGGTGCTGCAAGGGTACCTAGCCTGCCACTAAGGACGATCCATTTATACGACCACTCTGTCAGCAGTACACGAATAAGAAACATTGTACTAATAAGAACCAATAGACCATTACAGATTGGGGCCCAATAAGGTAGATGTGCTAATTTTTACCACGGGTTGCAAATGCAGTAATATGTATTTTTGTGTAACCGCGGCCCAAACCAGGAGCTACAGATGGAACGAGGTGGTTTTTAAGTCAGAAAATGTCTGATACTCTCATCTCTAGCTCCACACCGGGGAAGAGAAGTTATTCAACGATTCCTCCTCCCTCCCTCTCAAAAACCACGCAGCGGGTACAAGGAGTGATCTCCAATTTGCCTTACGTATTGATTAGGTGCGTAAAACACTCTTACATAGAGAGGAACAATAAATTAGAATGTACTAGCTACTCTCGCGCGGTTTCACCCGCTGCTCGGCTCCATTTAATCGTAGCGTGATATTTTATAACCTATAGCACTCAAGAACATCGTAGCTATGTATCAGTGAAAGAATTTTGGCAATCCGACCAGCAGTTCCAAAGATTACACCCTACATAAAAACTTACAAATTTTACCTCTTTATAATATTAGTAAGTATAGATTAATTCCAGCAGTGGAATTCATTCCAAAACACAAACACAATTGAACTAATCGTGATTGTTTGTGTTATAACAAATCCTAAAATCCTCAATTAACTGGTGGATTCATTTGGGATGCTGTACTTATCTCTGCGTCTCGGTTAAAAAGACAACATCTTACGAAGGAAATTACCCTTTTTATCTTAAACTGGGTAGCTTTTAGATAAGGGTGTATTCGCAAGTCGCATTCTCTTACTAATTACCATTGAACTGAATGCTTCGGTGTAATCTTTATTACTTTCTTTAGTTGGATTACTATTTGTGTAATAAAATATAATAAAAAATAAATGCTAAATAAAGGTCTGTTAAATTCCTTATTATATTATGAGTGGTTATTGACGACAAAGGTAACAGAATCAAAATGAATGCCAAGTTCAATGACCGATTTTTTTTTTTGTGAGGGGAAAATCATCAAATGACTTCTCCCGCCCAGGGCCGGGCAGGAGGGAGTGTCAGACTCTTACTGACTAAAAACCCCCCTGTTCCTTCTCCTGCTCTGTGCCGAGGTCGCGGTACCTCATTGCGCTTACCCCGCAACCCCGGCTGAACATCAGCCCTTTATGACCCCGTCTGTGGTGGTCGAATGGCTCTTTGAGGCGCGCGCGGAACGCTACGCGCCGTACGCTCGGGCCTGGTTCTGATCGGGCGGCGAGCTGCCCTTACTCGCCGACCGCAGGCCCGTGCTTACGGTGGCCGGAGATCGTCCCTCGATCTCCGACGCCCGTAGTGTCGCCAGTTGCGGCTGCTGGGGCGTGAGGAGGAGGATTGCTCCCTCACGCGGGCCGCCTCTCTCTTTGCGAGCATGACTGCTTCACAAAAGGAGGAGACGGCGTCCCAGTTCCTCTCACTCCGCACCATGGCCTCGACTAAGGCCGGGCGCGAGAGGTCGCCGCCGCCGATCACTTCCCTGAAGATACGGCGGTGCTCAGCCCAGGCAGGGCATAGCGCTACCGTATGCTCCACCGTATCCTCTAGGTGGTCCTCACAATGACGACACTCGGGCGTTTCCTCCCGCTGAATCCGAAACAGGAACCTACCGAAGCTGCCGTGCCCGGTAACCACCTGCGTCAGACGGAAGGTGAGGACGCCGTGGCGTCTCTCAAGCCACTCCTCAAAGAGGGGTCTTACCGCTGCTATGGTAGCGTGCCCGAAGTTCAATGACCGATGTGGTGGAGCTTACAGTGAAGATTGTATTTGTCCTGGTTAAGCTCCACCTTGTTCTTAGGATAGCGATAGGGGCTCTCTATAACCGATACCCAGCCAGGGTTAAGGACACAAGGTCGACAATGAATCTCGGCCCCGCCCCAGAGCAGGAGACGTTGGTGTTTTGTAAGTAAGAGTCATACACTCCCTCACACCTCACGCAGATCAAATGCGATGATTATACAAGTAAAAATAAATAGTCATAAGTACGTGAAATAAAAAATAATAACGTCATGGTTAAGGAGGAGGTTAAGGAGCCCGCTTCTTATGCATGGGTTACAACCTGGCAAGTACCAATGTGACTTTTTCCGAGTTATATGTACTAAGGGTGACAAAAATGCATGGAGAGCTTAAGGTCGACTATTGACTGACAGGTTTTGCATAACGCTACCATTGATAACTAGATGGCGCTGCTTTTAAATGAAAATAACCCTGCAAAGCTTGAATACTTTACACTGCAGAGGCACACAATAAGGTGTTTAATGTTTAAAATAATAATTAAAAAACAATAATATATTTATATTCAAATACACATTAATTCTGTTAATTTTCTCATTTTCGAGGACTTAATATAGCGCCATCTAAGTCAAGTCAAGAAAACCAATTAAAAGATGGCGTCAATAATTAATAATAGACAATTAAGTTATAAACTAACCCGCATTTTCGACATCGTAAAAAATTCGATCGGTAGCTCGGATGAATAAGAATGATAGAATTATGACGTCGAAGGGCACCGGTTCCATGCCGGATTATCATTTTTAAATTCAGGTTTTTTAACAATGGTTTTTTTATATTTTTTATATAAAATCAATAATAATAATATATAAATAAAATATTTGACGTTTAATATTTATAAAAGATAACAAAAATAAATATATGTATAAATATTATTTTGGAATAAAATTATATTAATAAATATATATAAATAACTTTTATAATATGTGCTAACTATTAATGTAAAAATAACATATTTTTCTTACAGATTAAGACTAATACTAAGTTTAATTCTCATAAAGGATAACAAATAAAACTATTTTAGTGACATTATAATTTCACACATTTATTTCTTAAAACATAATATTTATTTCTTTCTTATATAGTGTATACCCTGACCTTATAACTTTTCAGCCAACTGACACATATTTAATACACTTTTTATAAGATTAATAAGTATTTTAAATCAAAATTGTGTTGTGCTAGTCATTTATTAGTTAGTTTTAAACACAATGTTATAATACGATTCTATATAATACGCACTTACTTATGCAACTATTTTACCTCCCCATAAAATTTAAAATTTAAATTTAATTAAAGTATTGACTAAAGTGATTCATTTTGTGCATCATGTTATGACAAAGGCCCATAGCTTAAGTATTCGTTCCAGAACAAGGAAGAAATTGAAGCTAGACCTTAAATCAATAACATTTCTAAGACTGGGATATATATAGCATTCATTAGATATGGGACGAATTGTTTATAGTAATAATAAATAAATAATTTATTATTTTGCTATCAATAGCATCTGTAGATATTAATATTGCTTTTATTTTTATTTCTCATATTTAGTAAAAAATTAAAATCATTACTGTAAATAACAGTTGCTGGTTATAAAGTAGTCAATAAATTTATCCTACTAACACTAAGTTTGAACATTTATCCATTAAATAAATTATAGCTTCCCCGGTCTTGTATTTGCTTAATACTATAGTCAGCAATATCTTTTCTTCTAAGAACTAGAGTAGCCGCCATTTTTATCGATCCTATTTCTCCTATCTCGCTGGCCAAGGAATAATCCGTATGTCTGATTGCTGACTAAACACTTGCACAATTATGGAACATTACACATAGGATAATTGTCCTGCACGAACGTTATCACTAGCACATCTTCATGACGTCTTTCAGCACATCTATGTAGTTTTCACTGTTTGCATCACTGAAGATGACAATGCTCCAGTAATTTTCCTCATAACCTTGCCCCATAAGTTGAAGCTGGTCTGAGTCAATATCACGTCTTCTGCCAGATCCACTACGGTGCTCCAATGAACCCTCTTCTTGAAACAGCTTTAGATATCCATAAAGTGGCAGTCTTTACCTGTAAGGGACGTGTATTATTTATTATTTTCATGTATCGATAAC